ACCCAGCAACAAGGGGTCACAGCTGAAAGTTGAAAATTCAGGCAAGTCACAGGGATGTTAGAAAGTATTTCTTCAGTTGTCAGGAAGTGGAACAGTCTGGAGAGTGACGTAGTGGATGTAAGATCCATACACAGCTTTAAAAAGATGCTCGATGAAGCACATGGAGAAGGGATGAGTGGACCTAGTAGCGACCAGCGAAGCGTGACCAGAAGCTAAGAATCGCCCCCTGAGTGGAACAAACTCCCGAGTAACCTCATTGAAGCTAAAACGTTGTGTAGTTTTAAAGGCAGGTGTGTGCTGGGCCCGACTGGCATGGACCAGTAAGCTGGCCTGCTGCGGTGCTCTTTCATTCTTATGTTCTTAAATGGGTGAGTACACACAAGATGTGTACACAAAGTTATCTTATCACAGGGTATCAGTAGCTATCACTTCAATCTTCGACGTTCCTAAGAGCCTTAACTAGTGTGGTTCTCCTATTAGCTAGTGTACGCCACCTGAGGCCAGCCTGGTCAACCAGGCTGTTGCTACTGTTGCAACAAAGCCATTATTAGCAGCAGATGGGGCTCGTGTGAGTCTAGCAAATATGGCAGCTTCAAAGGTTTCATTCCAGATGGTGTTGACATTACTTGGGAATTAACAACAGGGATGGGGGAAGAGGGAAGGGAGATGTTGATGGGGAAAGAGAGGAAATAGAGGGATGGAAAGGGAGGGGAAGTAAAGGAATAGAGAGGAAGGGGTGGTAGAGAGAATGGGTGAAGTGATGGGAAAAGGTGAAGAGAGGGGAAGAGGGTGTCAAGGTGAGAGATGTGGTGTTCCTGGCTGGAACACCTCCCTCCCCACACACCTGTATTACCTGACTCTCCTGTTTCCCCTGAAGCCATGTCTGTCCCAGGGATCATGTGACACGCCTTCTCTCTCCTCTCCTCTTTCTCTCTCTCTCTCTCTCTCTCTCTCTCTCTCTATCTATCTCTCACCCTTGCTTCTTTCCTCTACCTTGCTTTTCCTTATCCCTCTCATCTTGCCTAATCCCTTCCTCTCTTTTCTCGTCTTCTTCTATTCCTATCCTTTCCCTGTTCCCTATTCCAGAATCCCAAGTTTGGTACATGGACCTTGCCTTCTGTAAGAGAGATAAGAAAGTGAGGAACAGTGTTTCCCTGGAGCTGGTGTTGGAGGTGATATAGTCAACAGGTTGGATAATACTACCATGTCTGGTAATGGGCACAGCCCCATTATCTACCTCAGTGCTCGAGGAAATGATACTGGGAAGGACAGGAGACAGGAGCTGCTAGTTAAGTACAGGACATTTATAGATCTAATTAGGTCCAAAGAAGGGGTGCCTATCACGTGCAGCATACCACACTGAAGAGGAGCAGGCAACGAATGGTTGTCTGTTTAGGTTAGATGCGTAATATTATAGTATTTTATATTCCCTTGTTGTATGTATTGAGATGGGATAATTTGTCTTTGAAAGAGACAACTGAAATATCAGTATTACAAACCACTTCCACAAAATGATAACAGCAGCTCTCCCACCACAGTTTACAGCAGGATTAACATTTATTGTTAATACAGCTAACAATTAGTGTAAACTGTTGGATAGACAAGTACCACAAAGAACTTGCAATCCACTTCATTGGCAACAGGGATAATTTCTATGGCAAACATGATATGTAAGGGATGGGGTACATATTTCTGAGGCAGAGGTGGTAGTATCACCCAACTCTGTTGAGGGGGCCGTTGCTGAGTTATCTAGGACTTTAAACTGATAGAAGATAGTGGTATAGGTGTGTGTGGCCAAGGTACTCCAAGAAAATATTCAAAAGAGACAACTGTTTATAAAATAGTTACTAATAAAAAGCATAGGAATTGATCAGCCAAGAGACAGTCGAGGGTGGCGAGTCGATAAATTAAGACACATGTGCAACACTTGGATATTTTTGTTGAAACATTTTGCCACACAGTGGCTTTATCAGTCCACTGTGTGGTGAAACGCTTCTATAATAAAGACACCCAAGTGGTACATGTGTCTAATTTATCAACTTATTGGTTCTCTGAACTATTTATCTACAGGATGGCGAGTGACTATCTCTGTTAAGGTCTACTGTACTAAGAGTAGAAGTGCTTGAAGGGGAAAGTGCAATGGAGAAGTGGAGTAGAAGCAGCAGCAACACACACAGTAAGAGGCATTCTTGAGCTTCCCCAGTGCTCGGGGCTCGGCCCAAAGCTGGGGTGTGGCTCAAAAAGGATCCTGCAGTGCTTGCTGCCTTTGCACCTCCTGACATCGTCTGCTGTTATGCAGCTGCCACACCCTTCGAGCCCAGTGTGGGCAGGGTTTCTGGCAGCCGAAGGTGCCTAATTTCTCCCTCAGAGCCCCATGGGGGCGGGGAATGGGGCTAGGCCTGGGGACAGCTGGTCCCAGAAGACGCGGTACTTGTACCTCCTCCCATGACAGACATTGGTCTGAGACACTCCCTCGACAGGAAGCCAAGGCCAGGCCACCTCTTGGAAAAGGCCCGGCCGGGCGATTATACCGGTGAATCTACAACAGAACTGAACAGTGCTTGAAGTAATATACGAGCTAAGATAAACTGTATGTATAGGAAGGATTGACATTATTGCACTAACAAAGACCTAGTTCAACCTGAAAGGCAGAGACATGCCTTCTGAATCTCACATACATAAACTTCTATGTGACGAAATTACTAAGCATCTAGATTCTAAAATGTTGTTTAAATGGCAAATTTTAACTTTATCCAAAATTGACTGGAGTACTTCCATGGGAAATCTTGAGTCTAGCGACTTTCTAGATACGGCTCAGGATTTTCTAAAAGTTTATAACAAAACCAACCAGAGGAAATAACTTGCTGGACTTGTTTCTTGTTAACAAGAAATCACTAATTACTAATCTTGAAGCTAGTGATGAACTTAAAGGAAACGATCACAAATCAGTTTTCATACCTCACGGAATTACCTTGATAACTATAATCAAGTCAAAGTCCCCAATTTTTGCATAGCCGACTTTGCTGAAGGATTACCTAGGTGGAGTCGACTGGTGTGACCTGACAGTTGATTTCCTGTGGACCAGGTAGGTGGTCATGGTTGCCAATATGACATTTTTCAAAGTATTTTACAAGCTGCCCAGGTAACATATGTTCCAAATAGGGAAATTAGATCAACCAAAAATGATCCTAAATGGATAAACTTTACATTAAACATCTCACACGTCAAAAGAGAGGCATTCACAGACAAACCAATACATTAGACAAAAAAAAATAAGAAAAGCCAAAAACAATTATGAAATATAAGTAGCAAGGGCTTCAAAATTCAACTCAAAAGGTTTCTATCAGATATATAGTAGCAAGATTAGGGAGAAGACAGACTCACTTAAAAGTTAGTCAGGTCAACTTACTGTCAGTGACAAAGAAATGTGTACTGTCTTTAACATTTATTTCCTGTTTTTATGCAGGAAGATACTAGTGAAATTCCAGAAATCAATAACTGGTCAGGAGGACCAGTTATTGAACCACGTCAATAGTGACGTGGTTCTCGGATAAACAGATTAAACCAAACAAATCACGGGGACCTAATGAACTGTTCACAAGGGTTATAAAGGAGGAACTTGGTAAACCATTATCTAATCTTTTCAACAAATCACTACAAATCACAGACCGGGTGCGGTTCAAAGTCATAAGTTCAAGCCCCACTCAGTCTTTGGTATGTTTGCAATGGTGGTGTTATGATTTTGCGAGTCATGATGGCGGCTTTGAGGGGATATAAGTTAGAGGAAGACACAGCCATGCTGGTGTGAGAGTCGTCTATAAAAAAAAAATGCTTTTGTGGTCACAGTGGTGGCCCATGCTAACCTCCCTATGGTGTGTAGATATATAACCTTAAGTATAATGAACTCATGTCATTGCTCAGTAATAATCCACATGGAGACAGAACTCTGAAGATGCAACAACACCTGATAATAATGATCTATCAACACTAAATTTTATGCTCAATAATCCGCATGGAGACAGAAACTCAAGAGATTAATTGATCTCTATATTTCGATGCCCTTCTGGGATCCTCTTCAGCAGAAGGGGATCGACATATACAAATCAATTAATCTTCTGAGTTTCTGTTTCCATGTGCGTTATTACTGAGCATATGTACCTAGTTGTAACAATACACAAATAACCCGCACAAAGAAGAGAGAAGCTTATGATGATGTTTCGGTCCGACTTGGACCATTTCGTTTCGCTTCAAGTCTGACCGAAACGTCGTCGTAAGCCTCGCTCTCTCCTATGTGCGGGTTATTTGTCCCTCAGCTGAGGGACTGACCACCTCAAATGCTATTTCTCCAAAGCTGATGGACTGATTACATCATCTTCATTTCGCTACTACACCTGCTGCCTCTGCATTTGATTGAAGAAGTCTACTGTGTGGGCGAAACGTTTCATCAATAAAGATACCCAACTGTTGCACATATATCTTAATCATCAGCCTGTCAGTATTTTATATAATTCTCAACATTACTGTGTTCCCTACCTAGGTCTGAGGGCTGTAGATCACACCCAGGATCAGCTTTTCACGTCCCTCGATAAACTATAGCCACGTTGATTCAGTGTTAGTCGCTTTCACATTTATATTTTGTCTAATGCAAAAGTTTAAATTATCTCTCTGACATACATTGCCCCTACCAACCTTCCTGTTGAACCAGGTCTCTGTTATTGCAATAATATCTAGGCGTTCTACACAGGCAATTAATCTCGACTCGTTGACGAGGTAGGCAGCACTGTTATTGTTGACGTAGAGTGAGATATAAAGAAGGGAACGTTGGCTGGGTTGGCGTAGAGTGAGATATAAGGAAGGGAACGTTAGCTGGGTTGGCGTAGAGTGAGATATAAGGAAGGGAACGTTAGCTGGGTTTGCGTAGAGTGAGATATAAGGAAGGGAACGTTGGCTGGGTTGATAGAATGAGATATGAAGGGAAGGGGGGATGTTGCTGTACTTACCATATAGCGTTTTATTCCTCCGAGCCACTAGCGCCTCGCTGCTGCTGGGGGCGCTGCTGGGGGCGCTGACGGAGGTACTACTGGTGGGGGTCGCTGCTGAGGTGGCTACAGCAGTGCCTGGCCCGCCCGCACTAGAAGTTCCAGTGGTCACTGTAAGAGTGAGAGGGATACTGCGTCATATATCAGGAACGACGAGGTAGGGCAGGGGTACATACTGGAGTGAGGGATGGGGAGTGTCACCCCAGGAAGGCACTGCTATCCGCATAGGTGGATACGCTGGGGAGTGCCAGACAATACCACCCCAGGAAAGCACTGTTATTCCCTAGATATGTACACTGGGAAGAGTGCCAGGCAATACCACCCTGGGGAAGACACTGCCCCCAAGGTGTATACCCTGGGGAGTGCCAGACAATACCACCCCAGGAAAGCACTGTTACCCCCTAGGTGTATACACTGGGGAGAGTGCCAGGCAATACCACCCTGGGGAAGACACTGTCCTCCAAGGGGTATACACTTGAGAGAGTCACTCCGAGAGTGCCAGGCAATACCACCCTGGGGAAGACACTGCCCTCCAAGGGGTATACCCTGGGGAGTGCCAGACAATACCAATCCTGGAAAGCACTGCTACCCCCTAGGTGTATACACTGGGGAATGCCAGACAATACCACCCCAGGAAGGCACTGCTCCCCGCCTTGGGGAGTGCCAGACAATACCACCCCAGGAAGGCACTGCTCCCCGCCCTCTGAAGTCACCACAACTACAGTATTTTACATCTCAACAGATTACACTAAGATATATAAGAAAACGTTTTGGTCTTGGGACCTTGAATAGATTATCAGAAGTGACCAAGATCCCAGGATCGAAACGTTGTCTGATATATCTTAGTGTTTACTTACACGTCTCTCTTAAACCACTTGTTGGTATCAGTTACCAGGGGCCGGGAGCTGAGACTTGACCCCTAGAGCCACAAATAAGTGAGGATAAATAGGTAAGTACCCCCCAGCACCGTGAGATGGATCACCACAGTAGTGAGCATCCTGGTGACAGGTATGTGATAGTAACAAGTACTACAAGGAGTACTGGGAATCGAACTGGCGTTCTTGCAATTGAGGCTGAAGTTGCATAACTTCAGCCTTCATTGCAAGGTCATTGCAAGGTCATTACAAGGTCACTGGTCCCCACTGTGTAAACTTTATCAAGTCAATAACTTGATAAAGTTTAAAACAGCTTGAAATGTCGTCCAATTTTTGATCTCAAAGAAAATAATAATAATGGAAACAATGTGAAAATAATAATTAAAATGAAATATAATTAAGAGTTAAAATATAATAATATAATTAATAAGAAAAAATAATAATAATAAAACATAATAATATAATTAATAACTAAAATAATAATATAATAGTAATAATAGTAATCTGAGAAGTGGTCAACCTCGCACCTGCTGGTGACTGGCACATGCTATTGGTCAGGCTGCTGGGGGTCAGGCAGGCAGGAGCTCCCTGATTGGTACTCCCGTGAAAGGGGAGGGGCTCACGCGGGCTCTCCTCCAATCCCTTGCCAGCTCCGAGGGCAGAGTGCGTCTCATTGGCTGAGAGTGCAGGGCGGGCGTGGTTCTTGATGGGCAGGAACGTAGGGCGTTTCGGGCGTAGGACATGGCTAGTAGCTGGGTAGGTGGCGGCAGGTGGTAGGTAGGTGGTTGCTGGTGGTGGGTAGGTGGTTGCTGGTGGTGGGTAGGTGGCGGCAGGTGGTGGGTAGGTAGCATCTGGTGGTGGGTAGGAGCGGGTAGCAGGTACCCTGGACGAGCTATCCTCATTCTCGGTTAATTCTCCCTCTAACAAGAAACAAAGACATGACTAACAACAACTGTGTTTATGCTAACACTACATCAACCTGTACTAACACTACATCAACTTGTACTAACACTACATCAACTTGTACTAACACTACATCAACTTGTACTAACATTACATCAACCTGTACTAACACTACATCAACTTGTACTAACACTACATCAACCTGTACTAACACTACATCAACCTGTACTAACACTACATCAACTTGTACTAACACTACATCAACCTGTACTAACACTACATCAACTTGTACTAACACTACATCAACCTGTACTAACACTACATCAACTTGTACTAACACTACATCAACTTGTACTAACACTACATCAACTTGTACTAACACTACATCAACTTGTACTAACACTACATCAACTTGTACTAACACTACATCAACTTGTACTAACACTACATCAACCTGTACTAACACTACATCAACTTGTACTAACACTACATCAACTTGTACTAACACTACATCAACTTGTACTAACACTACATCAACTTGTACTAACACTACATCAACCTGTACTAACACTACATCAACTTGTACTAACACTACATCAACTTGTACTAACACTACATCAACCTGTACTAACACTACATCAACTTGTACTAACACTACATCAACTTGTACTAACACTACATCAACTTGTACTAACACTACATCAACCTGTACTAACACTACATCAACTTGTACTAACACTACATCAACTTGTACTAACACTACATCAACCTGTACTAACATTACATCAACTTGTACTAACATTACATCAACTTGTACTAACACTACATCAACCTGTACTAACACTACATCAACTTGTACTAACACTACATCAACTTGTACTAACACTACATCAACCTGTACTAACATTACATCAACTTGTACTAACATTACATCAACTTGTACTAACACTACATCAACCTGTACTAACACTACATCAACTTGTACTAACACTACATCAACCTGTACTAACACTACATCAACCTGTACTAACACTACATCAACCTGTACTAACACTACATCAACTTGTACTAACACTACATCAACTTGTACTAACACTACATCAACCTGTACTAACATTACATCAACTTGTACTAACATTACATCAACTTGTACTAACACTACATCAACTTGTACTAACATTACATCAACCTGTACTAACACTACATCAACTTGTACTAACACTACATCAACTTGTACTAACACTACATCAACTTGTACTAACACTACATCAACCTGTACTAACACTACATCAACCTGTACTAACACTACATCAACTTGTACTAACACTACATCAACCTGTACTAACACTACATCAACCTGTACTAACACTACATCAACCTGTACTAACATTACATCAACTTGTACTAACACTACATCAACTTGTACTAACACTACATCAACCTGTACTAACACTACATCAACTTGTACTAACACTACATCAACCTGTACTAACACTACATCAACTTGTACTAACACTACATCAACCTGTACTAACACTACATCAACCTGTACTAACACTACATCAACTTGTACTAACACTACATCAACCTGTACTAACACTACATCAACTTGTACTAACACTACATCAACCTGTACTAACACTACATCAACCTGTACTAACACTACATCAACTTGTACTAACACTACATCAACCTGTACTAACACTACATCAACTTGTACTAACACTACATCAACCTGTACTAACACTACATCAACCTGTACTAACATTACATCAACTTGTACTAACATTACATCAACCTGTACTAACACTACATCAACTTGTACTAACACTACATCAACCTGTACTAACACTACATCAACTTGTACTAACACTACATCAACCTGTACTAACATTACATCAACTTGTACTAACACTACATCAACTTGTACTAACACTACATCAACTTGTACTAACATTACATCAACCTGTACTAACACTACATCAACTTGTACTAACACTACATCAACTTGTACTAACACTACATCAACCTGTACTAACACTACATCAACCTGTACTAACACTACATCAACCTGTACTAACACTACATCAACCTGTACTAACACTACATCAACCTGTACTAACACTACATCAACCTGTACTAACACTACATCAACCTGTACTAACACTACATCAACCTGTACTAACACTACATCAACTTGTACTAACACTACATCAACTTGTACTAACACTACATCAACCTGTACTAACACTACATCAACTTGTACTAACACTACATCAACCTGTACTAACACTACATCAACTTGTACTAACATTACATCAACTTGTACTAACATTACATCAACTTGTACTAACACTACATCAACTTGTACTAACATTACATCAACTTGTACTAACACTACATCAACCTGTACTAACACTACATCAACTTGTACTAACATTACATCAACTTGTACTAACACTACATCAACCTGTACTAACACTACATCAACTTGTACTAACATTACATCAACTTGTACTAACACTACATCAACTTGTACTAACATTACATCAACTTGTACTAACATTACATCAACTTGTATTAACACTACATCAACTTGTACTAACATTACATCAACTTGTACTAACATTACATCAACTTGTACTAACACTACATCAACTTGTACTAACATTACATCAACTTGTACTAACACTACATCAACTTGTACTAACATTACATCAACTTGTACTAACACTACATCAACTTGTACTAACACTACATCAACTTGTACTAACATTACATCAACTTGTACTAACATTACATCAACTTGTACTAACATTACATCAACTTGTAGTAACACTACATCAACTTGTACTAACACTACATCAACTTGTACTAACACTACATCAACCTGTACTAACACTACATCAACCTGTACTAACACTACATCAACCTGTACTAACACTACATCAACCTGTACTAACACTACATCAACCTATGCTAGCACTACATCAACCTGTTCTAACACTACATCAACCTGTTCTAACACTACATCAACCTGTGCTAGCACTACATCAACCTGTACTAGCACTACATCAACCTCTTCTAACACTACATCAATCTGAGCTAGCACTACATCAACTAATTTTTCACAGCTACTCCTTATAACTATGATATATGACTCAGTATATAACTCAGTATATGACTGTGAAAAATCTATATATTTCTGTATCTCAGGAAACCTTTTGAACTATTGGTCAAATGTGTGTCTACAAGTGAAGATCCGCTGTCTATATAATGTTACCTTGATGATAAACTTAGTGTCACTGGACGAGGTGAGGAAGATGGAGGGGT